TAAATGGTAGTCTCATGCAAACTCGCTTAGCGAATTCTAACCTAACTGACCAACTCAGCAGAGTGTCTTTAAAGAGTGAGAAGAGAAGGATGTGGATTGAGTTGAAGGAGGTGGAGTTAGTAAGGGCTAAGGATGAAAGTATTTATTTGCAAAGAGACAATTTGAAGTTTTTAAAACAAAGAAATGTTTTTTGTTTAATAGTTAGGCGTTTATACACAAATATTGCTCAATTACATTTAAGTTGTGAGATAGGAAAGAAAATACATAGGATGATTTTGCCCTTCCTTGAATTTAAAGAGGATGAGATCATAACAGAATGTGAGTCATAGGTGTCCTCAGAAGAGACATCCGTGTCTTACAAAATTGGATTGGACAAAATAGAAACCTTCATTGAATCTAAGGAACATAAATGTATGCTAAAAGATATGTTAGATGAAAATGATAGGTTGAAAATAAAGTTAGACAGTATTCAATCATTTGACACTTCCAATGCAAAATTAAATTCAGAAAATAAAATGAACTTAGATAATGCATCTGAATTTGATGAGGAAAGTGAGATGAGTGAAATCTCGGTAGAAGATGTTGTTGATTGCTCAGCGTTTATGAGGAGCGAAACCGAGAATGAGAAACCTCTCATTTCAGAAAATTCGGTTGAATTTGCTCGCATGTCAAAAGACAAACCACAGAAACTCAAAGAAAAGGCTTTGGTTTATCAAAAAGTTCAGACGGTGCCAAATCAGGTTTACACAGCTAAAGGAGTCACTACAAGACAAACGGCAGAATTAAGAGTCTTAGTGGAAAAAGACGATGCTGAAGGGTGCAACGATTACTTCTGGTCTGCCCCTATTGACAACGCAGAAGAAACTGTAGGCCTGTCTGAGCAAACTTTGTGGAGGGTTAAAGGAAGATATGTTGCCGAACCCATCAACAAAACCTTAAGCTTCGAGAAAGCAAGCACAAGTGGAACTAAACAAATTCCTGAAGAACCAAATGATCCAACAAATACAACCGAACAGTAAAAGTAGAAAGCAAAGGCAAGCTTCAATATCCACAAGTCACAGAAGGAGTTTGCAGAACAGAAACGCCTGAGAAACCAAAGATATGCAAAGAACTTGAATGAGCAAAAACGTCACTAGGAATCCCAAAAACCCAACTACATACCTCCTAAGGTAGTGTCTAGTGATAAGGGAAAGGAAAAAGTGGAAGGAAAAGATGCTTTCAGCCCAAATTCCTACTACTACAAAAGTCAGAACCAAACATCGGCTCTCGGTTCCCATCCTAACGCTCAGAACCGAAAGTCAAGTTTCGGTCCCCGCTTCAACACTCAGAACCAAAAGTCTAGTTTCGGTCCTTACAACAGCGCACAGAACCGAAAATCTAGTTTCGGTCCCAACATTAGTTTCGGTTATTTCAATTCAAAGTGAAAAATAAACACGGTGAATGACGTCAAGGGAAAGGGAAAGCTAACATCAGATTCTGAGTTCAAAGATAAGAAAAAGTTAGCTAACCCTAGGACTCAAAAGAAAAATCCCAAACCAACTAGCAACACACCAACTAATGAACCAATCTTTAAACAAGATAAAACTAAAATTAAGGTGTATACCATCAAATGAAAAGATCAAACCACTTCAATAAAAAGAACATTTTTGGTTGATATTTCTTCTGCAATTCCTTCTTCTGTAAATACTCACCAGGACCCAAGAAACTTTGGGTTCATAAATCAGCTTGAATTTGCAGGTACTTTGTGATGAGCAGTTCGATGATGAATGGTATATCGCTAGTGGCTGCTCACATCACATGACAGGAAGGAAGGAAGAGCTGAGGGACTTTCGGTCCCTGAAAGACGGTGGATCTATAAATTATGGAAATAACTCCTATGGAACAATCAAGGGATACAGTAAGATAACAAATGGAGATTTCTCAATTCGAAAAGCAGCGTATGTGGAAGGATTGTAGCATAACCTCATTAGTGTGTCATAACTAGTCGTCGGAACAGTTCTGAAAGTGTCATTTGATGATGAGGGTTCTGAAATTATTGAAAACATACGAAAAAGGTTCTGCTAAAATCTGATCGCAAGGGAGAAATGTATCCCTTGAATCTCAACCCAATAAAATGAAAACCAGCAACATGTTTGCTATCAAAGGCAAACACGGATGAAAGTTGGCTGTGGTATCGACGTTTATCGCATCTAAACTTCAAATACATTAAGAAGTTGGTGCTTGGTGACCATGTTCGAGGTCTTCCTCTTCTCAAGATTGACAACGAACATCTATGTGCAGCGTGTGAGATGGGCAAACAAATTAGAAAAAGTCATCCTACGAGAATTAATACAAAGATTGTTGAAGCTCTTGAACTACTACACATTGATTTGTGTGGACCTTTGGCCATTGAAAGCATCGGTGGTAGTAATTAGATACTTGTAATTGAAGATGATTTTTCACGTTTCACCTGGGTTTTCTTTCTTAAACAGAAATCTAAAGCAACTCCCAAGCTGAAGACATTCATTAAGCAAGTGGAAGTTCAACTGAAAAAGATGGTGAGAAATGTCAGGAGAGACAATGGGCCGGAATTCAAGAATAAAGACTTTGAGGAATTTCTGGCTGATAAGGGAATAAGTGACAACTTTTCTGTCCCTTACACACCACAACATAATGGGATTGTTGAAAGGCGAAACCGTTCTTTATGTGAGGTTGCATGAACCATTCTCAGTTTCGCTTCTCTTCCACTATACTTCTGGGCTGATGCTGTTGCAACTGCATGCTACACTCAGAACCGATCCTTTCTTAACAAAAGATTTTCAATCACTCCATATGAGATTCTAAATAATCGAAAGCCAAATGTCAAAATTTTCCATGTGTTCGGTTCAAGATGTTTCATCCTAAACTCCAAGGAGAACCGAAGCAAGTTTGACGTTAAAGCTGATGAGGGCATATTCCTTGGTTATTCACTCTCCTCAAAAGCTTACAAAGTGTTGAATAAATGGTCTAAACGGATTGAAGAAACTTATTATGTCACCTTTGATGACAATTACATGAAGAAAGTTCAAAGGAGGGAAAGTGACCTACGGTAACTTTTTCCCACATTAGGATAAGTCTCGGTTCCTGTATCTAACTTGTTCGAGGAGTACATTCGGTTATTCGATGAACAGGAGTAAACAGCACACTCAGAGGCGAAAGTGGCAGATAACAAAATTGACAATCTCCAAAAGATCATCGATGATGCTGAAAAAGAGATGGCAAGTGAAATTCCCGAACCTGCAAGGGTCAATCCTCTACTGACTCTCAAATCAACGGCTCAACATTCCAGGGGGAGATTTCGTCCGTACCAAAAAAATCCAATGTATCTTTCGAGGAGGAGAATTCTACACCATCCCCAACTACTAAAAGTACATTTGAGGGGGAGCATCGAACTCTTTCTGAGTATGCAAACTTCGATGCTGCCATGGATTAGGCTTCGCCAGTCGAGGGGGACAAAGAATAGGCAACTGACGAAGGCAAAAGTGATCAATCAGAATTTGAAGTAGTAAATGCAGAATTGGATCCGATTTATGACCCAAATTATCCACCGTTAGTGAAATGGCCCGAGGATCATCCTAAAGAAAAAATTATTATTGAATCTTCTAAGAAAGTTCTTACTCGTTCTCAATTAAAAGTGAAACAAACTGCATTATTCTCTAAAGTTGAGTTATGTATGTTTAATTTGTTTATCTCCAAAATCTAACCGAAAACAATAAATGATGCACTTGATCATTCTGATTGGGTTCAAGTAATGCAATATGAGCTCTATGAGTTCGAACGTAACTGAGTATGGAGGCTGATTCCCACACCAAAGGATGCTTCTGTGGTTAGCTTGAATTGGGTCTTTAGAAACAAATTGGATAAAGAGGGGAACGTCATTCGCAACAAAGCTCGATTGGTGGTCAAAGGTTATTTCCAAGAGGAAGGAATAGATTATGAGGAAACCTTCGCTCCAGTAGCAAGGTCGGAATCAGTAAGAATCTTCCTAGCATATGTTGCACATAGAAACATTGAAGCTTTCCAAATGGATGTCAAATGTGCTTTCTTGAATGGAGAACTAGAAGAAACAGTGTATGTTGAGCAACCTCCTGGGTTTGTGCACGAGAAATATTCTGATCATTGCTATGTGCTGGATAAAGCGGTTTATGGTTTGAAGCAAGAACAGAGAGCCTTGTATGAAACCTTAACTCGTTTTCTAAAAATGTCAAAATTTAAGCAAGGTTCAGTTGACCCTACCTTCTTCCAAAAGAAAGAAGGTGAACATCTAATGATCGTTCAAATTTATGTTGATGATATCATCTTCGGCTCTATGAATCCTAGCTTAACAGCTGAATTCAGAAAGTTGATGGAGACTAAATTTGAAAGGAGCGCAATGGGTCCAATTAATTTTTTCCATGGTTTAAATATTAGACAGGGTCCAGAAGGCATCTTTATCACCCAGGAAGAATATACAAAGAACCTGGTAACAAAATTTTGCATGACAGGTGACTCTAAAGTGAAGGTTCATGTGGCATTCGACACTAAGTTAACACCGTCTCTGGAGAAACCTACGGTTGACATAACACTTTATCGGCAAATGATAGGGTCCCTTATGTATCTAATAGCTACAAGACCGGACATTATGTTTTCTGTTTGTTATTGTTCCATGTTTCAAGAAAATCCTAGAGAACCTCACATGGTGGCTTTAAAGAATATCTTCCGTTATCTAAAGCACTACTAGAAAAACCGCCTTTTACGATGCTCATTGCGCATCGTAAAAGGCTCAGACGACGCGCAAATGCTCGTCAAGGAAGGCCCTGTCATAAAGAAAGACGACGCGCTTTAGCGCGTTGTCTATAGACGACACGCATTTACGACGGTCATTTACGACGTGCAGTTACGACACGCAATGCGTATCAAGGAAGGCCCTGTCACAAAGGAAGACGACACGCTTTCGTGTGTCGTAACGTTACGACTCGCGTGTTAGTGACACGCAATGCGTATCAAGAAAGCCCCTGTCAAGAAAGGTCATGTCATAAATGAAGATGACACACACTTTTGCGTATCATAATTTTAAATATTTAAAAAAAAGTATATTTTTTATAGATTTACTAGTTTTCAAATTAAATTTCCATTTAATGCCTTCTAATAGAAAATAAAATATCATATACAAAAAGTATAATCCATTTCATAAAATTTAATGTCATACAAAATATAATATACAAAAAAGAGAATCCATTGCATAATATTTTCTTACAAATTTGACATTTTTTTGTTTCCGTACTTTGACAATTTGTGCTACTGCTGATTCCGAAGCCAATCCGCGACTGCATTCCAGAGTTGATTCAGTGGAAAGAGCATCCAAGAATCCATCACTTGAAATTACAAGCCGCCCACAAGCAGAAGATAGCTGAAGATCATGAATAAATAAATTTTTTTTAATAAAAAGAGGAATAAATTGAGTTTAATTACTAAACTAACCTGCACTTGTTTGACATGAGGAACTGGAATAATGAACTCCCCAACATCTCTATCTCCAATAGATCTTGAAAGGTATAACCCACCTCGCCAACCTTTTAAAGGACCAAGAAACTTACATGGACTGCTGACCACCAGTTTCTTGTATCATCCGAGTATATATGTACTCATCAAATCTCTTTTTGTTTTCCTTATTGAGCCACCTAATGATGCATCAATTAGTAAATAAATCCATTGTGTTAGAAATATCCTAAAAACCTATAAGTAATGTACCTTCAAAAGTAATATTATCAATCTGGACATGATTATTAATGGTAACAGAAAATGGAGCAACATTTAATGTTGCAATTGATGATATTTTTGGCTTTGTAGATGATTCCACAAAATTATCCTAAAAATATATCACAATCAGAATGCTGATTTTTATACTAAAAGATATTTCTATAAAAAAATGTATGGTTTCATAAGTATACCTTCTTATGAATTGAGAATGCCTAGCATCCCAAATCCTACATGATTCATCATCAAACAACCTAAACAAAAAAATCAAAATTCAAAATCAAAATAGTATGCATAAGAATAACATCATAGAAAGCAACAGATAATATCCACTATGTTCAAATCATAGGGGAATCAGTCAGCAACTAAGGGTGTTTGGATGTGAATTTTTTATGGGTTTGGTTGATATATGATTAATTTTATGAAATAAGGGCAGAGACTTAATTTTACTCCACCTTTTGAGTTTTGATAGATGTGCTAATGTAAGTTATCACAATCAATAAAAACAAAATAAATAGAAATTAGTATACCAACTAATATAGAAAGTCAAGAAAACGAAGCTTTCCCTATCAACTCCTAACTTCTTACAAATTTACCCTCAGCTTTTTTTCCTTTCATATCTTTTTTTTTTCTAATATCCAGACAAAACTTAATAAAGAAAAAGAAGGAAAATAGACAAGGATTTAAATTTTAAGGGCACAAAAAGTTAAAATTAAACCTGCTGTTTAGTAACGTTTTTAATGCATTTGGCACAAAACCTCTATATAATCCAGCAACACCATCACAAGCAATAATACCTACACCTAAAAAATCATATTAACGAATTTTAGTTTAAAAAAATAAATAAAAAAAATAAAAAATATATATGAAAAAACAGAGAAATCTTACAAAAAAAAACAGTTTCTGCCCTTATAAAGTTTCTGCAAAAACTCAACATCAATTTATAATGCAATAATCATAAAAAAAAAATAAAAAAAAAATAAAAAGAAAAAGAAAATCCTGCCCTTATTTTTACAAGGGCAAATTGGTTACAAAAGGTTACCCTTGTTAAATGTTTTCAACAAGTTTTGTAGTTATAACTCCAGCTGTTAAACACCACATTAATAGATACAAAAGGGTACAAGTATTTTGTATTTACTTACATTTAAAGAATCACGTAGTGAACGAAATGCTTCAGAAGGCAATTCTTCAAAATCTCTTTGCACCTGTTACAATATATGGATTTAAGCAAATAGTTATGTCCTATGATATAAGAACTGCCTCGAACAACAGCCATTACAAGTGGATTTTGAAGAAAAACAACACTTGTTAAGTAGATAAACAAGCATTGAAACCCTAAATCCATATTCCATCAAGGCATTTTTCTGTGATTATCCAAATTTTTAGTTTGTATTCAACTACATTTAATTAAATTAGAATTATTAATATTAAAACCTTATCTAAGAAATTGGAATAAAAACTACCTATTAGTTCACAAATCATGAAGCATCATCAACAGTATCATTAATGTGTCAACTTCTCATTCATATTGTACATAATAGAATTGATGAATTTTGTTTTTTGGTATGGGGGAGGGGAAAGAAGGTAAATTGTCACTAATTAAGTGGACCAGGAAACCGTGTCATCATTTGCAACCTTTTTATCAACGACATCAGCTCAAGAAGAATAACTCTTTTTTAAGGATGTGAAATTGGACTTTACAGATTTCTCTTTTGTTTTAATGTTGATCCACTTAAAAAAGATGCATCAGATCAAGCACCTTCTTCTAATAGCTGAAAAATCAAACCCAAAACAGCATCAGTAAAAGGGCATTTTCGGTATTTCACTAAAAAAATCAAACCCAAAACAGCATCAGTCGCATCCTTTGCAGCATTCACAGCAAGAACCTGAGCATTTTCAAAAAATAAAATTATCACCATTCATAAGAAATTAAATTATATATTTTTCAAATTTTAATAATAATAAAAAAACCTTTGGAATTATCAACAATGACTCAGCAAATTCTGTAATCGCTACCTGTTTGCGGGACCCCCAAAGTTGTAGCAAGGTACTCTAAATACACAAATAAAGCAGCCTCAGCTGCACCCCCTCCTGCAACCACCTAAAAACAACAATAATATAAATTATCAATAAATAAATAAAATTAAAAATTAATATTTTCTTTTTTTTTCTTACTATATTGGATTCGAGGGTTCTTTTGACAATACATAAAGCATCATGTACCGCCCTATTGATTTCATCAAGCATGAAGTCATTAGCACCTCTCAGAATTATCGACATCTGTTCAAATTGTCACAAAATTAATTACTTTTACATTAAAAAAATAAGGAAATATTAAATCACATACAACCCCTGTTGTTTTAGTTCCTTTGATGAGTATGACATCATCATCTGCAATTTGCTCCTCCACTACTTCATCTGCATATCCAAGGATACAAGGTGATAGTCATGCAAATTTGAAAGCATCTCAACTTCTGCCCACAACTCTGTTGCACCTTGACTGGACGTAAAATCCAACGGTTTAAAGGCAGCAACAATAACACTTGATCCATTGATAATGTTACCTTTGTAAACTTTTCCAAACCCTCCATGCCCTTAGCAGAAGACATAGTTTTTGATGCAGAACAAGTGGAAGTTGAAGCAGATTTTCAAAATTATCGTTTAGTATATGGTAATTTCTTCTTGGAAAGAGAGATGGATCCATCGTGTGTGTGATCAGGCATTTGTATTTAAATTGTTTTTAAATCAACTAAACGCTGAAGTGGCTCCAAAACAACAACTTAACTTTTATCACCTAAATGGACAATGGGACAACAGAGATATAAGTGATGAAGAAATTATGTTTTATCCATCATATATAAAGAGCACCCAAATACTCTTCAGCTAGGTCCTTTGCATCATCAATCACACGGTTGTTCCGAATAAAATCAGCTTTACTAATCTTACATATAAACAAACCAAAGCATTAAAATCAAAAAAAAAAATGAATATATAAACTAGGAATAAATACAATACTGAAATCCCAACCTTATCTTTGACCATGCTGTTATGGGCATCTGTATTGAGCAAAAGCACAGAATATGATCTCGAGTCACCAACGTCTTCATCTATGTTTCCAAAAGTCTTCCTCTATTTACAGTCTCCCTATTAACATTGGGATGAACACATAAATTAATACAGGTTTGCACACACTTACACACTTACACACTCACATATCTTTGAATGGATGGTAAAAGCATGGCTATCAACCCATTTGAAACCGACTTGGTGGCAATCATCTCTTTCACATGGCCCTCCTTCACATCTGACTCACCAGCTCTAGGACTAGGGTGAACATCCACTGCAGGAGAGTAGTTAAAGAACCCATGTGGCTGCAAAACCAAAACATTTATATATTTTTTTTTAGATTTTTGTAGATAAAATAAACATACATAACCAATTAAAAACATGCATACCTGCAGCATAAACCCAATTCATTCCACTGGCATCACAAACCAATCTTCCAACCTAGGAACATGAGTTATCCCAAATACATGCCTGCAAATTTTCATATAAGAAAATATTGTACGAAAAGCATGCACAACCTGATTAAAAAAACAAGGAAATATACTTAGTCACCAGAGAACAATGTCGGCTTCTTCAAGAGATTGATTTTGCTGGACCCATGAAGCCAGACCTTCACCAACACACGAGTTTTGGTTTGGAAATTCTCATCCGGGGAAATCCTCACCACAAGAATACAGTGTGATCCATAGATTATGTTTTAAAAAGGCAGCCCTTCTTAAGAACTTGGCTTTTGAACCTGCTAAAGGCAAGCAGTTTACCGGATGTAAAAAGTCTTCAGCAAGTACTTCTCAGTATTAGGGAACCATGGAAAAAAGTTTTTTTATATTTGCTTATTTAATTTTTCATCCAATACATTTTTCAAAAAACGTGAAGGGAGATGCTTTTCATACATTTATTTTAAAGACATTAACAATTCTTATTCTGATTCTACAATTGTTTAATCTAAGTCAGGCATTTCATCGAATGGATAGAATGCATAAATTTTCTTTATGAATAGATGAGAATCAGAGCATGGAAAATGAAATTAAACCAAAGCGATGATAGGATTCTATAAAGTAATGTAACAGATATATTCTTACCTTGGAGTCGATGCCTATCCAGAGAAAGGTTAGATGGCTAGTGAACAATTTTAAAGAATCTCAGTAGATGTCGAACCCTAGAATGCTAAAGAACATGTTAAACTCTAGAATGGTCACGAATGGTTGAAGAAATATGATGTAGGAGGTAAGATGTTGAGATATGGATTAAGCTTGTAGAACCCTAGATGGAATCACCGATTCTTAGCGACTCTTCTAGAAGTGAAAGCTATGGCAGCCGCACCTCACACACAATGTGTGTGTGCCTTTTTCCTCCTCTTTTACGTTCTATGTGTCTTTGTTCCTAACTTGCAAAGAGATGGAGAGAAATCACCAACTCTTCTGCAAGTGAAATTTGTGTCTTGTTTTGTCCTTCGATCGTGAGAGAGAAAAATGGAGAGAAATTAAGATAGCTAGGGTTGCAGATGACCGTGAGAGAAATGGAGAGAAATTCAAGCGGCCTTTCAAAATTTTGGGAATTTCATTTCCCCCATATCCATTAAACGTGCCTTTCATTAAAAATATAAAGCGACACTTATAGAGGGCGCACATTTAAGATACAGCGCCCTCCGTGTTTTTAATTTTTTTTTTCTTTTCACACTAATTTAAGGGCACGCAATAATGCGTGACCTAAATCCTTCAATTTTTTTAGTAGATGACACTTTTTTAATATCACTCTCTTTTGCGTGACATAAATCATTGAGTGTCGTAATTTGCGCGTCGTAAAAGGGTCTTTTTCTTTAGGTGAAGCGAACTTCATCTCTCGGTCTCTAGTATCCTGCCAAATTAGGGTTCTTTATTCAAGCGTTTTCTGATTCTGATCTTGGAGGGTGTGGTCTAGACCGCCAAAGCACTACAGGTCGATGCCAATTTTTGATGGAAAACTTGTTAGTCGGCAGTCCAGAAAGCAAACATGTGTGTCACTTTCAACTGCAGAAGCCGAATACATTGTTGCAGCCTCTTGTACTTCTCAAGTTATTTGGATTCAAAGTCAGCTGAGAGATTACAGGCTGAACATGAAGAATATTCCTCTATATTGTGACTCAGAAAGTGTAATAAGGATTTGTCACAATCTAGTGCAACATTCCAAAACTAAGCATATTGCACTTTGATATCATTTTATCAAGGATCATGTCGAAGATGGCAACGTGGAAGTGCATTTTGTTCGATCCTCTGATCAACTGGCTGACATATTTACCAAGGCCTTACCTGAAGCATTTTTTAATAACATTTTACAAGGTCTGGGTATGATGGAAGCAAAATCGGTACCGAATCCTCGAATCTTGCCTTAAAAATTGGACAAGCGAAATGGAGCGACCGCTCGGTCTATTTTGGCTCCATAATTTTCTGGAACCAAAATGAACCGATCGCTCTGTCTATTTCGGCTCTGGAATTTTACGGGACCAAAATGAACTGATCACTTGGTCTGTTTCGGCTTAGTCAAAAACACTAAAGTTTCGGTTGGATATTATGTATATCTCTATTATTTTATGTTGTTTATTTTACTTTTCAGAAAACCTTAAAAATCCAAAAATATATTTTTTTTTGTTTTTTTTGTTTGTGTGGTATGTGTGTTTGTTCATTCTTTTCAATAAATTCCAAGACTAAAAGTACAACAGAGTTCGGAGCTGGGGCAGGTATGATGCTTATTTTATGAAATAGTTAAGGGTCCCTAGAAGCATGCTGCTGCATGTCGACCTAAGCCTCTACGACTTAGAGCAAGGCCTTCATGATTCGATCTATACCTATCGTTTCTTCCCAATTAGGCTGCTTTTATCTACTCAGTCTAGAGCTACCTTACTCTTCTCATATGAGTTAAGAGTTTCTCTGCTTTGTCACGTTTTCTAGCAGAAGGTACTTTCGATTCTTTCACCATCCTCATACTATTCTCCATCTACTATCGGTTCACAATTGTAACCCTTGAGACTCTCCGTTCTTACCAGTGAGGTTTATTGTTACATAAAATCTGTGTTTATGATCTTAGATACGTATACCACGTGCTGAGTGAAACCCAAAATATAACAGCTATAATGAATTGATCATGAATTTCTATATTCAAGATCTTACTTGTTACCTACTGAAATCTCTTTTTATTTGTGAGGTCTTTTATGAATTCGTCTAAAACCAAGACTTTTCTTCCCATAAAGATCCAATTTAATTTTGTTTTTGAGATTTCTATAAACTCTTTAGTCATCATAAAATATAACCTACCTACTTGTTCAACAGACCACATCGGTCTCACAAGTACTTCTTCCAACACTCGGTCTTATATTAAGAATCGATGTTCGGTTCAAGATAAGCCACCTTAAGCCTATGTCATGAAAAGAAGCGTTTCAATGTTTATTCACAAACACTTGATCGTATTCTCGGGAAACCACACATGCACTTCAAGTCATTCTTGACTTTGAAGGAAGCGATTCTTGCCTGGAATCCCCTGCTTTTTGTCTGACAATAAGACATCATTCACATCCCATATACATTTACTTTATTCTTTATCTTTTGTCACTCTAATGCATGAAAATGTTTAATTTTCTCACATTATGATGATGGTATGTTTGAGTTTTATTTGTCCTCTAGTGAATCAAGGGTAATTCAAGTTTGTATGGCAAGTTCTATTTCAAATGCTGATTGACGAAATTCTTTTGGGCGCGTGAATTTGAATGGTCCCTGTACGCATGCGTGCTGCCGCATACCTAGGAGCACCCAACCTATCAAATCACGCTTTTTCAGGTGATGTTTTCGTGATCACATCACTATCGTCACAATTTTCTCTCTCTCCTGGCAACGAGATATAAAGGGTTTCCACGATTCTTTTTCTTCTACCAACAATAAATTTTCTCAATTGTAAAGGTGCTTTAAACGATTCATCTTCTTTCTTCGATCAAAAATGGCAACTTCTTTTTCTGCACATGATCAGACTGCTTCATCGGCCTTTCTTACGATCAAGCAAAATCAAAACATGATAATGGAATTGAATCCATTCCTGTATGATTCCTACATGTTACAAGTTGTCGAGTGTTTGAAGTATTCTCCATTGGTTCTTGCCCTAACCCAATTCGAAGCTGTTCCAATGTCTCTACTGTCTCAAGTCTACTCTTCTGCAACGTATGACAAGAACAAAGAATGCATATACTTTCAAATCCACTCCAAGAAGGCCTCTATTTCAAAAGGGAGGTTTTGGTCGTTGCTAGATCTTGCTATGGATTCTTCTGTTATCTCACCCAACTTCATTACTACAGCACAACTTTTCTCGATGCTGTATGAAATGGGATACACTAATGTGATGACCACCATTGCCAAAGTCAAGAAGTCGTGTCACCCATCCCAATGGAACGGTCTTCTCACTCTTCTTATCAAAAGCTTGGCGGAACAGAGTGCTGGATCAGATGTCACTAGCAAAGGATTTCTGACCAATCTCTGTGGTCTTTACAATGGACTAAACCTTGATTATGCGTCCATTATCTGGTGTCAGGTTGTGCAGAGCCTCAACCTTTACACTCGTCACTCCAAAATGTATTGTGGAAGATCTTGGACACTCATCACAAGGCGAGCGATAGATACTCTGGACATTGTAGTGATGAAAGATGCCCTAATCGCGTCCATTGTGACTTTTCATACCAAGAATATAACTATTTCTGACCCAACGAAGTTTCTACATTATGGCTCCATTCTGAAGACCATGTATCGGGGTGTTACAGCCGAAACTCAGGTGATGGCTGACTTGGATGCGGTTGACAAGCCGAGTAACCGAGGAAAAAGGGTAACCATGAAGAAGGAGAAAACCAAGGAAGATCAACCCAAGACCTCAAAATCAAAGAAGCGAAAGTCCGAGAAAGAAGCCTCCTCTAAGCCAAAGAAAATCAAGAAGATGGCGAAGAGATCAAGAAATCCAACTCCCCCGAGTTCTGACAATCTAGAGGATGATGAAGATGATGAAATTCATCCGGAATATCCAAGAGGTAATACTCCACCTAGATCTCCTATAACAACCAAATCTCCACCTCACAAACTTCCAACCGCACCTCCATCACCGAAACCGAAAGTTCCAGTTTTGGTTGTTACCACTTAACCAACATAAACCTCTTTTCCACCACCACCACAAGTTTCTTCTATTTCTATCCCTACAACCACCTTACCAACTCCTATAATTTCCCAATCCACTGCCACTACTATCCCTAAACCAACATCAAGGGTCAACATATCTGATATGGGGGCACCTACTAAAACTGAACCCGCAGTCATTAATAAACCTCTCTCTCCAGGATACTCAACTAAATCTGGTGCCATTGTAGGTGGTGCTAATGATGAGTATGACTCCATAT